AATATCTCTGAACAAATTATCCGAGAGGTACTTGAATTTGGTGATGCATCCGCATTCCCAATTGAGTACTCTGATGATCGTGTCAAGGAAGTTCTTGAGAAATGTATTATGAAGGAAACTATCCTCCCAATATCAAGAAGCTTTTATGTAACATACACGTTTTGAAATCGTGTTTTCGTAATAAATAATATTATGAAATATAATGTGATATTGAGTATTGAGTTCTAACAGATAGTTTTTACTAGAATTGAAGTAAAACTATGTTTAGAATCACTCGGAAAATATTGGAAGACTTATTAGATTCCAATTTAATGACAAGTACTCAAATTTAACGAAAATATAAAATTTAAATTAAGTAAAATTTAATTATTGAAAATTGTAAAAGATAGCGTTAGAAACATTTAGGCGAAAACCTCATCGAAATCCGAGTTATAACGAAGAAGTTATGACTATTTGAAGTTTCGCGACAGAACCCGTACGACACCGAATGACGTAAAAAGTGAGTTTTTGATAAACTACTTTTTAGTCTATATGATCTCAATGAAAGTTGTAGTATTAATTAAACCGAGAATTTTCATAAAAAGATCGTCCAAATCTGACTTCATATGAGGAAGTTTTGATTTTTCTAAGTTTCGGTATAGCAGTAGACAGCTAAAAACTCGAAATAAAGATCGAGTGGTTTTTAGCCAACACAACCTAAACAAGAACCGAAGGTCTCGTTAATATTAATATAACGGTAAAACGACAGACAAAAATAGACGTCGGATGAAGAAGTTATGAATTTTTAACGGACTTATCTTGTCTTGGCCTATTAAAAATATAATAATAAAAAAGTCAAAAATAGCCGACGGAGTCTAAACGAAAGTTATAGAGTATATTCTTTCCTACACGTGCATATAAATAACGTTAAAACGGAGTTCGTATGAAAAAGATATGGATTTTACAAGTTTTTGGCACAAACCTCGAATATGGTCCCAAGCGGTACGCCCCGCGTAGAAGGGTACAACCAATGTTCGCATGCAGGGCGTCAGATCAGCCACGTCTCTGGTCTTTGCATGACTGCCACCTAACAGATAAGTCTGAGCCACGTGCCTTTCCTTCGGAACAGTGGGCACGTAGCCTCGTACGACCCGCGTACAGTGAGACTACGCCCCGTGTAATGAGCTGCTTCGGACCCCTATAAAAGGGATGCGAGGCTGTCGTATTTATGTTACAAATTTCTCATTTCCATTCACTCTAAAACCCCTTTTAGCTCAATTTTAAAGCCCAGAAGCCCCGATATCAACCCCGACACCCGAAGCAAGTCCCGACACCCCGAAGTTCTCGAGAATATTATACTTTCAAGTCGAAACTCTGCCCGTCTAAGGCTGATTTTCAACTAAAATCCCCAGTTTCAACGTAGAAAGTCATATTTAGAGTCGAAATGATGCTCAAATTATCATTTATTCCTTCGGTTATTTCACGATGAGTTCAATATAGGGACAATTGTATGCTATATGTTATATGTTCAATGTACTTTCCCATGTTATTATGATATTGAGCTATACCTTAGGCCATGAAGTGTATGACATAAGCATCACTTGGGTATTGCTATGTAGCCTTTGGTCACGAAGTGTATGACATAAGCATCACTTTGGCATAGCATAATACAAAGACATGGCTGAAAGCCTGTGTATTCTAGTGAAATGATATTCTGAAATTATATTTTCTACACCACTTGGGCTGAAGTCTTATTAGTGTATATCAAGTGTTGGAAAAATTGTTATGTGTCATTGATTTCAAATCTTTGAATCTGATTATTCGTTGTTATGGAAAGCATGTCATATGATACTCGTTTTCCTATCTTGTTCCTTGTCCCTCTTTGCTTCTATCATATTGATATGTATATGGCAAATTGTTATATTGTAACTGTTACTGAACTCACTAAGCGTCACCTGCTTATCCCTCTCAATGTTTAAACTATTGCAGGTGATAAGCATCCAATATAGTTTTGTACTGGTAGAAGATGTAGAATAGATAATATTATAACTTTTGTATTCTATTCCTGGGAAAGTATGTAATATGTGTAAAACTTTGTAAAAATCTAAATAGTCAGTTTGTATCTAGTCTATATAAATAAACTATCAATGTAAAATAGTATTTTATGAATATGCATGTAGCATGTTTTGGAGCAACAATATTGTGAAGTATGAAAGTTTGGTTCTTTCAGAAATACAAAAGTTTTAGAAAGTTCAGGTTCTTTCAATTATGGTATCAGAGCAATAGTTTAGGTGAACTAAATATCACGGATTGGTATTTAGACTTAAACCATTGGAAGTTCAATATATGAACGGATTCATTAGGAGTATATGGATACAAACCATAGGAAAGATTTAAGTAAAGTATTAGGTAATAATAAATCCTAATATTCTAAATACTACATTGCTCCAAATTTTCAGAAGAATGGCTAAACAAGAAGGTAGCCAGACACCAGAAGTGAGTGGAAATCCTAAACTTGGTAAAGTAAATACTCTAGTATCCCCTTGAGAGGAGCGAATCTTGGGTAAACTTACTAGTATTATTATACAAACTCTTAAAGAACACAAGAAGGATAATGATAAAGGCAAAGAGAAAGCCACTGGAGAATCTTCAAAAGGAGAGGTGAAGTGTCCCTTGTTCAAATATTTCAAGAGTAGTGGTGCTATGGAGTTTTCTGGTGCCATTAATCTAATTGTTGTTCTTACCTTGATATAGAATACGGAAAAAGTATTCTGTATCTCTCATGTGATAAATGAAGATAAAGTTAATTATGCCTCCGTAATGTTCACCGAAGAAGCTCTGGTCTGGTGGGATGCAACATTTGAAGCTCATAAAGAGTATGATCAGGAGAATTTTTCTTAGGGAATGTTCAAAATTCGCTTACTAGAAAAGTATTGTCCTATAGATATGAGAAGAAGATTGGAAAAAGAGTTCCTTGAACTTAAACAAGTAGGAATGACTGTGAATGAATATGAAACACAATTCATTCAAAAAGCATGGTTTGCTACAAAGTATATTCTAACTGAATATGATAAAATTCAGTTATTCGTGGAAGGATTATGATATGAAATGCACGATTTTGTGAGTAATCAGGATGTTCTATCGTTTGATAAAGTTGTTGAGTATGCCCAAAAACGCAAGCATGACTTGGGGATACGTGGTGCCATTGTTTCTATCTCAAAGCATCCACGTATCAATCAAACTGTTCCTATTTCCTCTATTCCACCAGCTCAAACCGTTCAAGAGGATTCCGGTAAACGAGTGCAATTTTTTTCTCTTCAATCGCCATTATGTCTAAATTGTGGAAAGAATCATCCGGGCGAATGCAGACTAGAATAAGGATTAGTGGTCTGTTTTGGATGTGGAGAAATAGTCCACAAGAAGCCCGTTTGTCCAAAGAAGGATGTTACATGTTTTGCTTGTGGTATTACTGGCTACAAAAAATGCTTCTGTCCTACTCTTACTAGTCAGGTGACGTGGAGTCAAACTTCTGTTCAACAACCAGCGAGAAGTCAAGCTCATGTTCAAAAATCAAAGAGTACTCCAACTAAAAAGGAGGAGGTACCGAAAGCTAAGGGCCATGCGTTCCAGATTACCATGGAGGAGGCACGCGAGGACCCAAATGTTGTGACGGTTACATTTCTTGTCAACTCTAAACCTGCTCACATCTTATTTGATTCTGGTGCCTCAGACTCTTTTGTGTCTCATGAATTTGTGCATTCTTTTCAAACTGCTTGCTATGCACTCACACAACCATTTCACTTAGATACTGTGGGAAGTACATCATTACTTGCTGATCAAACATATAGGAATTGTGTCGTTGAAATTGAAGGCTAGCTAACCTGATTCTTATCTCCTTGCCCAACTTTGATATTATTCTTGGCATGGATTGGCTATCAAAGAACCATGCAGAACTCTTGTGCTATGAAAAGATAGTACGCATTCCTATTGAAGGGGAGAATTCTATTTATGTCTAGGGTGAACAAAGAAACTTAAAAATAATCTCTTTCCTAAAAGCTCGTAAATTCATAGCGAAGGGGTGTTCTATCTATCTGGCTTACATCATCGATATCTCAAAAGAAAAAGAAAACGGTAGATGATGTTCCTCTGTTAATGAGTATCCTGATGTTTTCCCGGATGGTTTTTCTGGACTTCCTCCGGACAGTCAAGTAGAATTCTGAATTGATCGTGTGCCTGGTGTAGCTCCAATTGCAAAGACTCGTTATATGTTCAATGTGCTTTCCCATGTTATTATGATAATGAGCTATACCTTAGGCCAAGAAGTGTATGACATAAGCATCACTTAGGTACTGGTATGTAGCCTTTAGCCATGAAGTGTATGACATAAGCATCACTTTGGCATAACAGAATATAAAGACATGACTGAAGGCCTGTGTATTCTAGTGAAATGATATTCTAAAATTATATTTTCTACACCACTTGGGCTGAAGTCTTATTGGTGTATATCAAGTGTTGGATAAATTGTTACGTCTCATTGATTTTTAAATCTTTGAATCTGATTATTCGTTGTTATGGAAAGCATGTCATATGATACTCATTCGCCTATCTTTTTCCTTGTCCCTATTTGCTTCTGTCATATTGATATGTATATGGCATAATGTTATATTGTAACTATTAGTGAACTCACTAATCATCAGCCGCTTATCCCTCTCAATGTTTAAATTGTTATAGGTGATAAGCATCCAGTATAGTTTTGTACTGGTAGAAGATGTAGAATAGATAATATTATAACTTTTGTATTGTATTCCTGGGAAAGTATGTAATATGTGTAAAACTTTGTAAAAATCTAAATAGTCGGTTTGTATCCAGTCTATGTAAATAAACTATCAATGGAAAATATTATTTTATAAATATGCATGTAGCATGTTTTGGTGCAAAAATATGAAGTATGAAAGTTTGGGTCTTTCACAAATACGAAAGTTTTAGAAATCTCAGGTTCTTTCGTTTTGCCACCCTACTGGATGTTACTGTCACACTCCTTTGTGATTTGCATTTCCGAAAGAAACGGAGGCTCTGACGAAATCAGTCTGACTATGACCTCAACCATTGTTGCTCTAGCTATGGACTCAGATTACAACATCTCAAAGTTCATCTTCAAAGAAAAGAAGATCAACCTCCTGGGAAAGAAAAAGGACCTATTTTTGATGTACCCCAGGTTCCTTCTAATATTTTTTAATGAAAAATATCCCCAAATAGAAACAACTCCCGATACATTAGATATGGAAGCTTTAGGTCCCAACACTTGTGGACTCATGAAGCAATCGAGAAAGTCTACTAAAGTTGCTTATCATGGATTAAAGAAGTTAGTTAAATTTGGAAAGTTTGATGAAATTGAAGACTCTCCTGCTGTTAGTTCAATAAATGTTAAAGTTGTCGATGAACACATGGCACCTAAACCAAAGTTTCAATTTGCCTTTGAAGATATTGAATTATCTTATGAAGAAGATCAAGAGGATCAAGAAAAAGAATTGACAGAAAATGAGTTTAAAGACTTTGTTCAACAAAGTATCTCAAACCCAGAGAAGGATGCATTTGTCACACCTCTGGTTGTGAGTGAAAGGGAAAGTGACACAACAATGCAATCTTCCATACCGATATTTGAACAGATGGGTGCTCTCATAGCAGAACTTCAACGAACTACAAGGAAGCCTCCCTAAAAAGTTCCCATTGCTACTGAACCTCCATTTAAAAGTGATCCAGATGACTCAGCCTACGCTTTACTCCTAAGGAAGTGAAAAAGAAGAGATCCAAGGCCAGGAATGTTTATCACGTACCCAGTTCAAAATAAATCTACATCGATTGAGTCTGGTTCTATGGATCAAAACATACAAAGCACATTCACTAAGACCTCTCTAGTGATTCAAGAAATATCAAGCCCGTTCTCTAAGCACATTCCTATAGATCAGGATTTTCAAAGCCCATTTGTTGAAGCAAAAGTCATACCTTCAGAAGGAGCTCAAGCTTCAAGAAGCTCTTTTGAAACACCCGAGCTGGGTATCTCCAAAGGTAAAAGCAATTTTCTTGAATCTGAATTTGTTAATGTCGCTCAGCTTTAGAACAGAGTCTTTGTTCTAGAACAAAACTCTACTGAAAAAGATTTGATAATTGGAAAGCAGGATATTCGAATCAACGAGCTTAAGAAAAAGAATTTCGATAAAGATTCAAAGATCTCATAGCTTGAAGTGAATCTTGGTGATTTAACTGCTCTATTCATTGATTCGAAACAATGCCTATTTCAGAAGTTTGGTGAAGAATTTCAACCCTTGAGTGTTGAAGGAGAAAATATCACTGCTTCTAGTTCAGGTCCCGTCAATCAAACTTCACAATCTTCAAGTGAAAGAGCTGCAAAACATGCTCTGGATGCTAACCTTGATACATTCTCATCTTTGGGTCCTCTTTCTGCTGAAGAAAGAAGAGAGAAGAAAATTAGGGTTGAGCAGCTGAAAGGGAAAATGCTCTTGATGAAGAATTCATACCAAGATGCTATGAATGATCACCTTGAAATGTTCTTCAGGGAAACTGGGAAGAAGTTCATAGAATAATATGGTGATCGTTCTGGCACCATCATGTGGGGATATGATGCTGAAAAGAAGATGTGGATCATGAAGCGAAAAAGTGGAAGAACTGAATATTATGAGAAGAAAGTCGACTTCTTGTCCTGGACAAAAGTTGAAAATTTTGAACTCATCCACACACCTTTCCACAATCTAATCAATGATAACATGGCATGGTCCTTTAAGAATTTTATTGTGATTAAATAGAAAAATAAATTTGAAGACTTAAAGACTGCTTCATCGTTTACTAAGAAGGCTAAGGGTGTCATTGATCCTCGCACAAACAAAACAATGGTGAATGTCATGTTGCCACCCATAAAGAAAGCCAAAAGGATTCCTCTTCCCAAGCGCTTACTTGAAGGTAATTTGGATACAATACACTTTTGGGTTTATGATGAGGCTACTACAATGGTGATGATCAAGCTCAAGAAAAACCAGTTTCGTATTATTGATCCCAAATATTTGTTGAAGTTTGGAGAACGTGATATCAACACTTTATCAAACTTTCAGATTATCATAGAGAATGAATTATTTGAAGCTGCCATGAAAGCTTTCACTGGAATGGTAGCTACAATTATCGACAAGAAGCTGTGGACAGGGGCATTTGACCTAGCTGATGTTCATCTTGTTGAGAAACCTTGAAGAGAATAGAAAGCAATAAACTAAAGGGGAGATTGTTGGGATGTATTTAGTGGTTTATGCTTTGTCTTGAATGTATTATGTTGGTCGCGGTTTTGGATCGAAATCCCATAGTGATTTTGGTGGGCTTAGTTTGTTCTCGGTGGGATTTTTATGTATGGGATATATGTTATCGGTTTAGTATATATATGGTTTTTGTATAGCCGTTCAAGTCAATTGAGTTTTGTGTGAATACTAGTGATTCATGGCTGAAGTGTGATTGAGTGTACTTGACATTTATTCAGTAGAACTATGTGCATTCATGTTATTGAAATGTATTCTTGATATATCTAATTGATTGTTTTGTATCATTGTTTGATTAAGATTCCGCATTAAATCAAACATTGGGATTGATACTTTTATAGATACGAATTCAGGGACTTTCAACACTCAGACTGATGGTTAGAGAGAGCGAATGATCCAGACACTCAAGGATACGCTTCGGTCTTGTGTGTTAGATATTGGAGGGAGTTGGGATACTTACCTTTCACTAGTCGAGTTCTCCTACAACAACAGTTACCATGACAACATTGATCAACCAACCTTTGAGATGTTGTATGGGAGGAGATGCAGAACCCCTATTTGTTGGGGTGAGGTTGTTTATCGGGTCATGGGAAGCACTGAAGTGGTGCTTAAGACCACATAGTTGATTCAGTAGGTGCGGGGTAGGTTGCGGGTTGCATAGAGTCGACAAAAGAGTTATGTTGATCGACAAGGTTCAAACCTCGAATTTCATGTAGGGGACTTGGTGCAACTGAAGGTATCAACTTAGAAATGTGTCATCTGGGTTCGGAACCTAAGCAAGTTGGACCCCTGGTTTATTGGTCCTTTTAGGATGATGACTTGGGTGGACAGGGTTGCATACCGACTAATTTTTTTTACGAGCTCAGTCAGATCAATAACACTTTCTACGTGTCCCAGTTACAGAAGTGTGTAGCTGATGATTCAATAGTGATTTCAACGGATTATATTCAGATGGATGAGCGCCTGAATTACGTGGAGAGGACGATTGCAATTCTCGACAGAAAAACTAATACTCTGCGTAATTAGGTGGTGAATCCAGTAAAGGTGCAATGGCAGCACCGAAAGGGCTCTGAGTGGACGAGGGAGCCGAAGGGGGAGATGAGGTAGCACTACCCAAAATTATTTGGGGCGGCAAGCTTTGAGGATGAAGTATGATTCAAGTGGGAGAGAGTTGTAAACTCTAATCACGGAGGTATTTAATTTTTAGCTTTGCTTGAAGGTCACAACGTGAAACATGATGATCATATTGTGAATCCCATTGATTAGTTGATTTGTGATTTTGATTCTCACGACGTTAGACTTTGAATGCTCACTACATGATATTGGCTTGACGGCCTAACCCTAACATTCCAGGCATTAAATGGAAAGAGAGGGCTAGGGTTTCCCATCCTTACCCTCCTGCACTCTTTTGTCTCCTAAAACCCTTAACTCGACCCTCTTGATGGCCTTAGTCATATTCTAGATCCTTGAAGAATTCTTTTTTGGTTTTTGACTCTTTGAAGTGGAAGAAGGCCTTTGTTGAGCAACCTCTTAGAGTTTTGGCTTCTATATTGTAATATCTTGGATATTTTTGACCATTTTAAGTCTTAAAGCTTGTACCTTTCTACCTTTTGCATGCTAGATCTAAGTTCTAAGCTCCTTTTTGATAATAGCATGTATTTAACGTCACACAACATTATCAGTGCAAAGTATGCACGCTAGCATGAATATAGCATTACAATTTATACAAAAGCATTGCTAACATATCTAAGATGCTTTACATCCTTACAACATATAACACAGAAAAATGTCATCATTACCGACACATATAATCCCACAACAAGACTCACAGCACAACATCGTCTAATTCAGATTAATAGATTCGTTGTCAAGAATTATAAGTTCTCGACAATGTACTAGATTTGGAAAAAAGGATTAACTCACCTAAAATCCAAGATTAGTGAAAAATGAAAAGATAAACAACCTCCCAACATTGCTACTGAACAACCTATTCAATTGCATGAAAGCGTTATTAGAAAAAAGCAATCAAAACAGAAAACACATAGTTGTGTATCAACTCAACAACTACTAATTCCTAAGGAATCATACAATAATGGAGTGACTATAGGAGAAGTTATTACCTTTAGAAACTCCAGAAAACTTAAAGGAAGCATATGATAAGGAAGGATGCTACTAGAAAACCTCTAAAATCGATAAAAAAAAAAAAAAAAAAAAAAAAAAAAAAAAAAAAAAACTTCCAAAAGCACCACACTTCATTTGAATCACACCAAAACACCAAGGATGGAAATGTTGGATAGGAGTGTCAAATGTCATAGATAAATTGGTATAACATTTAGAATAATAACAAAGTCATTTTTGGGTTGCCCTCAAGAGCTAAAATAGCTAGAATAAATTTGGTAGATTGAGATAATTAGTTAATGTGTTTATTACATGTTAGTAAATTAATTAGAAACTAATTATGATCAATTAATAATTAATTAGAATTGATTTTGAATTAATTTGAATTAATCAGAATTGATTAAAGGTGCAGGAACTGAATGTTAATTGTTTAAAAGTTGGACAAGAGGAGTATTCTTGAAACCATAAAGGATATGGATATTTGTGGAGCTTTTAGGAGGTTTCCAAAATGATTCTAGGTAATCTATAAAGAAATTATTTGAATTTTGATTAAATCTAATTATTTAATTGATTTAAATATACTTTGTCTGCAAGTTTCCTTAGCTATAAATAGACCCTTAGGTCTTCATTAATTCCATTCCTACTCTTCTCTAGGTTGAGGATTATGATTTGTCTTGCCTCTAACACTCTGATCATGGAAGTATTTAATTTTCTTGATTTTTTAACTTTAGTTGAAGGTCACAACGTGAAACATGATGGTCATGTCGTGAATGCCCATTAACTAGTTGACCCATGATTTTGATTCTCACAAAGTAAGACTCCGAATGATGTGAGATTGACTTGATGATCAAACCCTAATATTTTGGGTATTTAACGGAAAGATAGGGTTATGGTTGACCGTCCTTATCCTCATGCACTCTTTTGCCTCCTGAAAACCCTAATTTCGACCTTCTTGAAGTCCTTAGTCATTTTTGAGATCCTTGAAGCATTATTTTGTGGTTTTTGACTCTTTGAAGTGGAAAAAGACCTTGGTTGAGCAACCTCTTGGTGTTTTGGCTTCTACCTTACAATCTCTTCGAGATTATTGACCATTATAAGTCTTAAAGCTTAGACCTTTCTACCTCTTACATGCTAGATCTAAGTTTAAGCTCATTTTTTGCATGTTTGTGTTGGTTTGCATGCTTAGGATCCATAAAGTTGGCAACTTTATGGATCATTGAGTCTTATCTTTAATATAGTCTTTGGATCTGAGTTTTGGTATAGTTTAAGACTCCAAACATGAGTATAGATCTTATTTTTCCCACTTTTGTCATAGTAAGAGTTTGAGTCATGCATTAGACATGCATGACTGAAAAGCTAAAATTTTTATCATCGTTTTGGGAAGAGAAGACCCTCTAGAAATTCCCAAGATATGGTTGTAAGTAATAAGAGCTTAATGTTGAACACTTGTCAGTATAGATCTCACAACATGAGGAGTAAGCCTGTCGCGTCGTGAGAATACTAGCCATCCCGACTCTTTTGTCCGGATTAAGTCACAATGTAACTCAGGGTCTGTTCACGATGTGACAAGCATTGGAATTATATTGATGGGATGAGTTGACCCGCTGATTTAGGATTAGGTCGAGTTGGTGCTTATGACGTGAACATGAGCTAGTCATGACGTAAGGACTAGCTGTTGGAGTTTAGACCGTTGACTTTTGTCCCTTAGTTAGGTTTTGGGCATTGGATTATTTTTTTCATGATTTGGGCCTTTTTGGTCCTTGGGGTCCATTATTGTGTTGTTGGCCAAGTTTGGTTTGGCCCATTATGGGAAGGGCAGAATGGGCTTTTATTTTAGGGGTCTGAATTTAGGATTTAGCCCCACAGTTATGGTTTAGAATTTATTTCTGATTAAGGTGATTTGTTTGTGTTTAGTGTTTGATCTTCCAGTTCGGTAGCAGTGCATTTAGTTATTTATCAGCAGACTGAGGTGAGTTTTCTCACTATATCAATGGGTCGATGGCACCAAGGACGACCCATTATCTGTGATATATGATATTAGCTATATTTGTGATATGTATATGAAATTCTAGGATTTATCCCTTGGCAACTGTATGAATGACCAATATATGTCCCTTGGCATCTGTATGAAAGACCAGGATCTGGCCCCTGGCAACTGTATGGAAGACTGGGATTTGTCCCTCGGCAGGAAATTACTTTTAAGACTATGGTTTGGCCCATAGTACTAACTTATTTATGTGGTATGTGGTACTTGGGAGAAACTCACTAAGCTTTTTCTTACACTTTATATTTGTAACTCAGGGTCTGTTCACGATGTGACAAGCATTGGAATTATATTGATGGGATGAGTTGACCCGCTGATTTAGGATTAGGTCGAGTTGGTGCTTATGACGTGAACATGAGCTAGTCATGACGTAAGGACTAGCTGTTGGAGTTTAGACCGTTGACTTTTGTCCCTTAGTTAGGTTTTGGGCATTGGATTATTTTTTTCATGATTTGGGCCTTTTTGGTCCTTGGGGTCCATTATTGTGTTGTTGGCCAAGTTTGGTTTGGCCCATTATGGGAAGGGCAGAATGGGCTTTTATTTTAGGGGTCTGAATTTAGGATTTAGCCCCACAGTTATGGTTTAGAATTTATTTCTGATTAAGGTGATTTGTTTGTGTTTAGTGTTTGATCTTCCAGTTCGGTAGCAGTGCATTTAGTTATTTATCAGCAGACTGAGGTGAGTTTTCTCACTATATCAATGGGTCGATGGCACCAAGGACGACCCATTATCTGTGATATATGATATTAGCTATATTTGTGATATGTATATGAAATTC